GAGGGGTTGTCTATTTGGCAAAGTAAAGAGTGGAGTATAGTCTTAATGACCTCAGGTCTCACAACAAGGCCTCCATTCAGCAAAGCAGGTAAGTACTTCGCTGAATAGGGAACTATCATGATCAACGTTCCCTTCCAAGTAGGCAGACAGGTCCCTGACACAAGCGGGTGGTTTTTAAAGAACCAGGTAGAAGAAGGAGTGAGTGAATGGAAGATGTTTCCTGCCTTCAAAGACCATGAGAAATAGAACTGAAACAAGAATTATGGGCAAGAATGATTCACCCATGTTCTAATTCCATTTTGATTTCAATGGTGTTAGCCCATCATAAACCTGGAGTAACACAATGGTGAATTAGGACTCAGGGGTTAACCAAACAATAGTCAGAGGACAACATTCAAAGTCAACAAAAATGTTCATGATTATACTGCTGCAGCTCTAATTTCACCTACCCAGGTGAAATCCCATTGATTTAAATGGACTTATAGTGGCCTTTTTTCAAAAAAGTCACCTGTGTCTAGACTACTGCAGTGTTCCTTTGAAATTAAATCAAAAGAACGCAGCAGTTTTTTCGACCGTGGAAAACCTCATTTTATGAGGAATAATGCCTTTTTTTGAAAGTGCTTTTTCGAAAAAAGGCGTTATTGAATGTAAACTGTGCTTTTTCAAAAGAGAGCATCCAGACTGCCTGGGTGCTGTCTTTCAAAAAAGCGGCTCTCTTTTTCGAAAATACTGGTTGCTGTCTAGACGCTCTCTTTCGAAAGAGGCTTGTAGTCTAGACATAGCCATAGTGGCTTTGCAAAGGTGTAAGAGCAGAATCAGACAGAGCTGAAGAACAGCTCAGTAATTCACATCAGAAGCGTCTGAAAAAGTTTCAGGCATTGTTGGAAAGTGGGAAGAGTTGGACTGAAATGGATGTTCAACTGGGATCAAGTTCCCGATCCTAATATAAGTAATTAGATATTTCTTAATTATTATGAGAATGTGATGGCTGATTCAGACATTATGTTAGACTCGAAGGGCCTATTCTGCAAAGGGAAAGCCAACTACCGCTCAGTTATTCCAATCATGTTCACTGGCTTCCTAGTTTCTTTACTTGCCAGCATGCCAAGCTAAACATATAGGTATTTAAAAACAAAAAGCCAACCAATCAGAAGTTGCAAAACCTACTTTGCTTTCAGGCTGAATAACTGTTTCTAGACACGCAAGGCTAAAGTTGTGCTAATCAGGGAGAGCCGACTCCAGCGTGAAACAAAAGTCATTGGTCTAAGTGTCAGCCAATTGCAGCAATATTTTCTTAACTTTCAGATAAACAGTCACACAGTATCTGCATAAGATAGGCTCTCCACTTCCCCAGCATTAATGTAATTTCACACTTTACCAAATAAAAGGCCCAGAGGTTCCAACACAAGATGCAGCTGTTGTGCTGTTACAATTGAAAAAGAGCAGCAAATTAAAACGTGTAGTGAGGCAGTTTCAGCTGAACTGCTCTGGTCTTTGTTTCAATTCTTTTGGCCAATTTGATCTGAGCTACTGAAATTAGAAACAGTGGGCTTGGAAGGGGGGATAGTCGTACAGTTTTAGTGGCTTGCTAGGGAAGTGGGAAAGAAAGAGGCCCAACAAGGTCAAAGGAAGGAGGAGGAAAGCTTGTGTGCCTACATGGAAATGAATTTGAATGGGTGTAAATTATACTCAGCACCAAATTAAGTTAAGCAATTACACACTTGCATCACACATTAATCAACAGGATTACTCACGTGCTTAAAGTTAGGCATAGAATCATAGAATACTAGGACTGGAAGGGACCTCGAGAGGTCCTCGACTCCAGTCCCCTGCCCTCATCGCAGGACCAAATACTGTCTAGACCATCCCTGATAGACATTTATCTAACCTACTCTTAAATATCTCCAGAGATGGGGATTCCACAAAGTCCCTGGGCAATTTATTCCAGTGTTTAACCACCCTGACAGTTAGGAACTTTTTCCTAATGTCCAACCTAAACCTCCCTTGCTGCAGTTTAAGCCCATTGCTTCTTGTTCTATCCTCAGAGGCCAAGATGAACAAGTTTTCTCCCTCCTCCTTATGACACCCTTTTAGATACCTGAAAATGGCTATCACGCCTCCCCCTCCCCAGTCTTCTCTTTTCTAAACTAAACAAACCCAAAACTAAACATGCCCAATTTAGGCATGTGCTTAAATACTTCGCTGAATGAAGGCCCATGCATGTGAACAGAAGGCAGGAAAAGATGTCCAATGATTGTGGTGAACAAAGGAAAAATGACCAAGGAAAGGCCATTCGGGTTGAAAAAATAAGCTGGAAGGATGAAGCAAGATCCCAGGGAAGGGGTGGGGAGGAGGAAGAAAGGAAAGAATTGGAGGTGCCAGAGAAGAGAGGAGAAAAGTCCTGATGGGCCAAGAGAAAAATATAGACATGCAGGAGCAAAGGAAGAACTGAGTATGCAGGAAGCAGAAGACAGTGGAGTTTGATTATAGACTTGCCTTGGGAGTTGCGATGCACACAGCACAGGGGACAGACACATGGGACTGTCTGTTCAGACTCCTTCTGGGGCTATTCCAGCCACTGACATGCTGGCTGACCCTGCACTAACTTCTCTGAGCCCCCGTTTTTCCAGCTCTAAAACTGGGCTGAAGTCACTCATCAACCTGATGCAATATACAAATGCCACAGTTGAGCTAGGCAGTCCAAGAGTTGCCCAACTGTGTAACCAGGCTATTTTGCTGATGCTAGGATTGCCTTTATGGATATGCTATATCAGTGCTAAGATGTATTTATGACATTCACCACCATACCATTGGAGTATCTCAGAATAGTCAACATGTTCTATGCTCACTACACTCCTGTGAGGTAGGGAAAAGCCTAAATTAAGTGATTTTCCCAAGGTCACACAGGAAGTCTGTGGCAGGGACTGGTCCCTGTCTTCTGAATCCCAGTCCCTTGCATTATGCACTTAACCAACCTAGGAGGAGTTACGTCAGGGCCAATCAAATAACCCTTTTTTTGCAGTGGTGGTGAGCAAGGCTCATGGACCACCACTTAAGTCTCATGTGGTTCTCAAAACAGGCTGTATTAGAGCTGACGTACTGCATAGGCATTGAGCTGGTCTTCTACAGAGGGATGAATGTCTCCCTCCATGCATAGGAGTGCTTGGTATGATTTCTAGTGCTGTGCAATAGTAATGCAATCAAGGTGAGTTCAGCTTACAGCAATTTTCTTTTTTTGTGAAAGAAAGAGCGTGATCTGGTAGCTAGCCAGCTGTCTAGAAGAGAGAAAAGGCTATACTGTGGCAGCAGGAACTGTACTAGGGATGGAGCTGAGATTTCACTTAAAAAAAAAAGCAAGACACTTCCTTTTAATTAGCTCCTTCCCCGCCACACACCCAGGATGACACACAAAGCGGGATGGAAAAGTTGACATTGGTGCCCATGAGACTTGCAGTAACAAATCTGATTGTGGCAGAGTCTTCTAATGCCCTGAGTTTATTCTGAGCAACTTGCATGGAGATGACAGGTGCCCCCAAAGTCCATATACAATCTGAACTCCCCCAAAGTTTGTTCCCAGACCAGAACTCTCCAAATTTCTGGACTGCTTCAGTCCGAGCTTTTAGTTCTGACTCATCTTTACCTGAAATAGAACATTTTCCAAGACACACATTCCATGTTCTGATTGAACATCAACCCTTAGCCTAGTTGTCTTCCTTGAACGCTGAATCATATGTAGCAGATATCAGCATCTTATCTGATCACCATACCATTTGGCTTCACCAGTGGGGCTCAGACAAGGTCTGAAGTAAGGAGACATGTCTAAAGGCATTTATTCACTAAGGGCTGGATGGATGGGCAGTGATCGATCCAGCAGAGGCTGATTTATCAAATCTAGTATAGAGGTGATAAATCAACCGCTGAGTGATCTCCACCAGAATGAGAAGAGTAAATGGAGTCGATGGGAGAGTGTCAGCTGTCGATGTATCACCGTGAAGATAAAGCAGTAAGCAGACCTAAGTACGTCAACTTCAGGTACATTATTCATGTAGCTGAAGTTGCTTAACTTAGTATAGACAAGGCCTAAGTTACTCTGCTGTTCTAAAAAGTCCATAGTCTGGTGTTCAAAATAAAACTGGAATTGGCTGGAGGAAGGTGCCATTTTTCTCTGAGACAGCTGAAGGAAGCGTGCTAACTGCTGTCCAGGATATCCGGATCTTGGCAGATTCCTTTCTCCTCCCTGAGTTTGCTCACTGAAGGTTTTCTGTTTATCTTACAAAAGTCTGTTCCTCTTTGACAGGTGTCCTGAGTGTAGCAAATATGTTCTGGCTAAGGACACTCTATAGGGAGTAAGTTTCTGGGTTTCTTCTGAGGAGGAATGGGAGTTTCTCTGCAAAAGGTAAAGCACTGCAAGGATTATGTATATTGGTAACAATGTTCCTTTCTATATTTAGCCATCTTACAATGTGTATTTCATTTTAGAAGCAGATTTGAGAGGCCGCATGAAAAAAAGAGAGAGATCTAATAGAGCTACATTGCCTGAGAGCTTTTGGATTTTAAATCAATGTAGGCAAAGAAAACTCAGTTTGGGTCTCCAATAGTTTGTCAGCCATGGGCTTGGGTTTGCAAAATCAAAACTACGGTGCTAGTTTAGTGCAGTTTTGATCTGGGTTTCACTGAATCTGAATCACTAAGTGCAAGGGAGTTGAATCAAAAGGCTCCTGTTTTCACTGGGGTTAACACAGGATTTTGGTTTGTTGGGCGATTGTAAAAATTCCTTTAAAACCTTTATTTTAGCTCCTGTGCACTTCACCAGTAGCAAAATGAGGCAGGAAGAAAGATCTAGTGGTTAAAGCAGGGCACAGTGAGCCTGGGTACTCTCTATGTACCCTTACAAGTGGTCCTTATATGTAAATGACTTCCCAGCAAGGTGGTGAATTTCAGCATTTGATGCATTTAGCTGAAAAGGGCTAGAAAAAAAACCTGCTCTAGAGCCCAAACAGGTCATCTTGAGCTCCATTCAGCAAAATGATTAGTGAGCTGAGGAATACCTGCAATCCACAAGAAAGGAGATTGAATAACCATGTCAGTACTGAAAGCGTTCTTGCATCTGTCACATCTGGTAGGATAACTCCATCCAAGATGTGCTATAATTATCCAGAAATCCAATGTCTCACTGCTGACTTGATGGATGATCCATTGGGATGGGACTGTGCATATTTGTTGCTATGTTGCTTATGGACAGGAAAAGGCAATGAACTTGAGATGGGGGCTTTTTTTTCAGCGTGAACACTACAAGACAAAGACAAGGGAATAAGTCAACAAGTGCAGGGCAGAAAGGAATTTCACTAATAATGTAAGCCAGAGGAGGACAAAAAGCAGCTATTTACACAGTATGCCTGTCCACAATGCACTGCCCACACTAGCTTTTGAGGCCCAAATTCACAGCATATTGGTCCAGGTTGAACTTGAGCACGTGCTCCAGTTCCATGAACACAATAGGATTCAAGCACAAGCTTAATTACTTTGATGAGCAGGATCAGTTTTGAATCCATGCTTAAGCGCTTTGCTGAACTGGGACACACCATCACAGCTCACCCCACCGCCGGAGCCAGAAACCAATATCCCTAGCCCAACAGACCTCTTTATACCACCGCAGCTCAGGTTCAACCAGCATTGTGCAAGGAGGCCGGTCTCTTGGACATAAATACATAGTTCCAGAGATTCCTTTCCCACATGTCTGGCTGGTGGCTCTTGCCCGTATGCACAGGGTCTAACTGATCAGCGTATTTGGGGTTAGGAAGACATTTTCTCCCAGGCAGAGTCCCTGAGGGATTTTGCCTTCCTGGACAACACTAGGCATGGGTAACTTTCAGGTTTGAACAAGTGGAAATAGTGAATTCCCTGCAATGTGAAGTCTCTGAAGCATGATTTGAGAACTTCAGTCACAGAAACTCTGAGTGGGTATGTGAAGTTCTGTGGCCTACAACTGGGCCCATTGACAGGGGAGGGCAAAGGGAGCAATTCAAAGAGCTTTTGGTACTGCTACTGAGGTAGTGGCGGTAGCTGGAGCCCTTGGCCCCTCTGAATTGCTGCCAGAATGCTCAAGTGCCGTTCTGGGCACTCTGTGAGCTTCTGAGGGCTGGCTGGGTGGTGCACCACAGCTTGGGTGGCACTAAAGGCTGACTGTCCTTGGCCCCACCCCTTCCAGGCTCATGGAGCTGGCCCCTCCCACACGCCTCACCCTAGGGCCCACGGTGGCTGTCAGCCCCCTGCTGGCAACATGCAGGAGGCCAGACTAGATGATCACGATGGTCCCTTCTGGCCTTGAAGTCTGTGAACCTGGTCTAAAACTTTACATATAAAGACTCTCTGGAAGTTTTTATTTTTATATAAACTGATGAATTTGTTTTGGAAAGGAAACGTGCACTCAAACACATGCTATTGATTTCACAAACTGGAGAACTCCATGGGCAACCCAGAACACACAATGTTGGTCTCACCCTGCTTTTACAGCCTGTGTTTCGTTAGGTCACTGCTGCAGAGCTGTCAGAGGAAAGAACAAAGCCCTTCACGAGCCGCACAGAAATAACCGCCATTGGCTGTGTGATATTCTGCCAGTGATGTCTTCTTTACTTCTGAAAACATAACCCAAGCCAGATCATCACTCCGTGGTAATTGACCTTACTCTACTAAAGTCAATGCAATTGTGGCCAATTTACATAATCTGGCAACAGATTATAACAGTATGAAACCAAGTCACATTTGAGGCTGAAGAACTGTGCAGAGTTCTCTTTATCGCAGGGGAGGAAAGCTTTAAAGACAGATGGTAGAAGTGATCTTCCAAAGCCTGGCCAATCTACTTGGCATATTTCAGTAACAACAGCTCACATGCCATCCTCTAGGCCTGGCAAAAATCCAGTTTGACACTTTCTTTCCTTCTTTTATTTTAAAGAAGCGTCATGGCAAGTCTCCAGTTAATATGAATATACATCACTAATAAAGCCATTCCCGTTATGGACCTGGGCCTGCTACACAAAAAAAGAGTTCACTCCCCCTCCCCCCGAGAATGCATAGTGCTAGTGACTTCTATTTCTGGGACAAAGGGCACACTTAAAAAGCACGATTTCCTAAATCTGTACTTTCTCTGCATTTCTAGATTGTGAGCCTGAGAACTCCCACACGAGATAGTAAGACATACGTAACTGCAAGCCCATGATCCTCAGTCAAATGACAGTATTTATTGGACGCACCGAGGAAAGAGGCTGTGTTTGGTCCTGAAGGGAGACAGTAAAACTCCTATTTAAGCACACTTGTCATTTGGTTCAAAAGGACAGAAAAAATGATTTTCCTCTCAGTATATATTAAAAAAATGTTTTCCTGCAGGACGACAGAGTGACCATCACGTCACTCTGCGTCCCACCTGCTTCCTCCCTCCCTTCTCCTCCCAGCTCGAGCCCAACCTCGCTGCTTCTTCTCGCCACTTCGAATTGCTCTATTAAACCAAGAAACATGGCACAGTAGCTGGCAGCCCCCACATCGCAGCCGTGACAGCCCCGGGGCGGGAGGAGGGGTATGGTGCTCAGGACAGCAGCCTGAGGACAGGCGCTAGGAGCGGGGCTCCCAGTCGGGCTTATGTGCCAGCAGAGGGGTCTTGGGGGCTCCCCCACCAGGCTCTTGTGGAGCTGGAGTGCAGTGCCTGACCGCCCGGAGTCTAGTTCCCGTGTGGCCATTCACTCCCTCCCCATGGCTGTACTTAAGGAGGCTGGCCATCGCACCGACCTGTCTGCGGGCAGACGGGTGACTCTGGGCTCTGTGGGCAGGGCTGGGGCCGTGAGCAGTGCCAGCAGAACTGCATGGGGGAAAGATCGGGAACTGCAGCCCCCCGGGCTGCTGCTTCTCCCACCTCAGCAGGCTGCAATGCCTCGGAGGGCGCGTGTACACGGCACTACCTGCGCCTCACTGTGCCCCACACGAGGCAAGCAGGCACCTCTGCACCTCCCAGGCTGCCAGGGCAGGGAGTGGAAGAAGGGACCATGGCTTGTAGGGAGGAGGGTGAAGGGGGCCCAGGCTGGCATGGCATGGGGCGGGAGAAGGGACCCAGGCTGGTGGGTGGGTGGGGGAGGGAGAAGAGGCCCAGGCTGGCATGGCTACAGCCCACCCCTCCCCAGTGGCGGCAGGGGGGAGAGCTGGGGTTGCCCACCCTATGTGAGAGAGTAAAGCATCCAGGTCCTCCACATGTTGCTGTTCTCTTGCATATCCAGGCTATGATAGGAGCATGTGTAAAAGGAGATATTCAAAAGTGCATTCTAAACTCAGATTTTCAAGTCTCTGAGGGGCCGCCATGTTAATCTGTATATGCAAAAACAATGATGAGTCCTGGGGCACGTTAAAGACGAACAGATTTACTTGGGCATCAGTTTCTGTGGGTAAAAAGCACTTTGGCAGATGCATGGACTGGAAACCATAGTCACAGTCTAGGAATATAGTAGGGATTTTCAAAGCGTTTTAAGCAGGCAAGACACCCAATTTCCATTGAATTGGACTCCTTTCTCCCTTAGGCACTTCGAAAATTGCAGCCTTGATGCTTTATAAATAAAGACCTGCTTACCACAAGGGGCTGGAGTAATAGATACATTCCTACCATATGGAGTTTCACATTTTGCATATAAAGGTTCTTTTGGAGTAGGGGTTAGAATATCTTGAAACTATTCCAAATTTGTGGAATAAATTCCATTGCCAGATAAAAGTGGCAATACATACATTTTGGTGCCATTCTGATTCAGTGGGAGGGAACACCAAAATGGCACAAGGAGGGTGGTGGGGACTTTGGGGTAGGGATAGTGAAAGTAGCAATACAGAAAGAAGAATAGGAACAGAGAGAGGAGAACCTTCCCAATCTGCTGAAATCAGTGGGGGCAGGAATGGTCAACATTTGCAGGATTAAAATCCTAACCATGAACATAGAGGCTACGTCTACACTGGCCCCTTCTCCGGAAGAGGCATGCTAATTTAGAACTTTGGAATAGGGAAATCCGCGGGGGATTTAAATATCCCCGCGGGATTTAAATAAACATGGCCGCCGCTTTTTTTCCGGCTTGGGGAAAAGCCGGAAAAAAGCGTCTAGACTGGTGCGATCCTCCGGAATAAAGCCCTTTTCCGGAGGATCTCTTATTCCTACTTGCAAGCTTCTCCGGAAGAGGCATGCTAATTTAGAACTTTGGAATAGGGAAATCCGCGGGGGATTTAAATATCCCCGCGGGATTTAAATAAACATGGCCGCCGCTTTTTTTCCGGCTTGGGGAAAAGCCGGAAAAAAGCGTCTAGACTGGTGCGATCCTCCGGAATAAAGCCCTTTTCCGGAGGATCTCTTATTCCTACTTGCAAGGGCTTT